GTGCGGTGCATTAAATCCATTATCGCCTTGCATGGCTGATGGAAAGTGCACAAAACGATATCCGCGACCGTCAGTTGATGAAACAGTCACAGGGAACGATGGATATCCAGTTTATCGTCGGCGTTCAAAATAAGATAATGGTCGAACTATCAAAGTTAAAGTTCAAAATCAAGAGATTGAGATCGGAAATGAATTTATTGTACCATGTTGCCCGCTGCTATCACGAATTTTCGAAACACATGCAAACGTTGAGAGTTGTCATTCGGCCAAATCAATCAAATATTTGTGCAAGTACGTCACAAAAGGCGGCGACATGGCTGTGTTTGGTATTGCGTCGGAAAATGCGAATGACGAAATCAGCAACACATTTGTCATTTCATTGATTTTGGCCAATATTCGATCAAGATGAGACATAGCTTTGGCGTTGGCATCATCTGGAATTGCGGCGACTCTTCTAGATGACGGTCGTACTGCACATTCTGCGCTTAAGTTGCCACTCAATTTAAACACAATTGATACTCGAACATGCAATATTTCCCGATCCAGTGCAGTGGGAAAATTGTTGATGCAATGCAAGCTCATTGTTTGGGATGAGCACAATGGCACATAAGAAATCACTTGAAGCACTTAACTTCACACTGAAGGATCTTCGGCGAAATAACAACATCTTTGGCGGCTTGATGATATTGTTGGCAGGCGGTTTCAGGCAGACGTTGCCAGTAATTCCCCGTGGAACGCCTGCAGATAAATTGAATGCTTGTCTGAAGGCATCACCTTTATGGAATAACGTAAAAACATTATCGCTACCCACTAATATGAGCTTTCAACTTCAAAATGATCAAAGTGCTGCACGATTTTCCAAACAATTGTTAGCTGTTGGAAATGGAAAAGTTCCAGTTGATGCGACATCTGGATTAATTACTCTTACCAACGACTTTTGCCGATTTGTAGACTCTCAATTAGCTCTTATTGAAAATGTTTTCCCAAACATTAGTGAGAATTACCAGAATTATGCTTAGTTAAGTCAACGAGTAATTCTTGCCGCAAAGAATAATGATGTACACGCACTGAATTTCACCATTCAATCAAAAATTGCTGGCGATTTGGTGACATACAAATCCGTTGATTCCATAACAAATCCCGATGATGTTGTAAATTATCCAACGGAGTTTTTGAACTCTCTGGAGTTACCAGGATTTCCACCACATAACTTGCAACTCAAAGTTGGTACAGTTATTATGATATTGCGTAATTTGAATCCACCGCGACTTTGCAACGGTACTCGACTTTTGGTAAAAAGACTTATGCCGAATTTGATTGAGGCAACCATTATTAACGGAAAGTACGCAGGTGAAAATGTATGTATTCCTCGAATACCAATGATTCCGACTGATCTTCCGTTTGACTTCAAACGATTGCAATTTCCAGTACGCCTTGCGTTCGCAATGACAATTAACAAGTCGCAAGGCCAATCGCTTAGTGTTTGCGGGATAAATTTAGAAAATCATTGTTTTTCACATGGGCAGTTATACGTTGCGTGTTCACGAGTTGGGAAACCATCCGCTTTGTTTGTGTTAATGTCAGACCAAAAAACAAAAAATGTTGTTTACCAAAGAGCACTTCAATGAAACGGATAATTTGCGGACACGTATAACGCTTCGATTGAGTATTTACTTTGGATTCACTTTCATTTACTTAGAGAAGTTCAACTAAATAACACTTCATTTTTGTGATCGAAATGAATTCATTACTGTTGTGAAATGAAATAAAATTTTTCCTTTTCAAATATAAAACAAACAAAAAAAATTCTTCATATTTAATCACCAAACGAAATGTTACATAAAACGAAGCCATCTGGTGCCGAAACGGAGTTCACCGGGTTTGCTAGTTATTGAATAGTAAGAAAACTAAATGTATTAAATTTACTTTAAAATGTTTTAAATCATCTTTAAATGTGAGATGAGTAGATCAGTAGTCAACGCACAATGTATCAAACTGAAAAGTTATGATAAGGTAAGTAAATAAAATAAATAAATATTGTGGCAGTCGATTTCTCGCCTTGCACAAGAACTCCTTTCACAGTCTTCAACTTGACGAATTTTGCATTAGGATTAAGGCACACCCGTACAAGATCCAACTGACCCAGGAGCTCAAAGTGAATGACCATAGACAACGCCGTTTGTTCGCTGAATGGGCTACAGAACGTTTGGAAGAGGACTCCGATTTTGGTCGAAAAATCATCTTTAGCGAAGAAGCACATTTTTGGATGAATTGTCTTGTTAATAAGCAAAATTGCTGTATATGGGACGACCACAACCCATACGATGTTCAGCAGGTGGTAATGTATCCACAAAAAGTTACTGCTTGGTGCGGATTTTGATCCAGCGGCGTCATTGGTCCGTACTTCTTCGAAAACGATGATGGCCAGGGCATTACTGTCAACGGCGAGCGCTACAAATCAATGATTAACAATTTTTTTGGCCTGAATTGAACGATATGACAGCGCTACGTGCCACACAGCGAGCGACACAATAGACATTCTGCATGAACGGTTCGAGGGTAGGGTTATCTCTCGCAGAGGTGACGTGAATTGGCCACCAAGATCATGCGATTTGACCCCGCTAGACTTTTTCTTGTGGGGTTTTCTCAAGTCGCAGGCCTATGCCAATAATCCGCAATCAACCGATGCCCTGAAAGTCACCATAACGCCGGCCATCACTCAGATTCAGCCGGATCTATGCAGTAGAGTAAAGAGCAAATTGGACCTCTCGGATCCGTGCCATCGTTCGAAGCCGCAGTGGAAATTTAAACGATGTCATATTTCATAAATAATGGCATAAATGGCGCTTTCAAATAAAAAAATAATTTCTTTAATAAAACACAGCTTGTTTTATTTAATTTCAACATCGACCCGTTCTTGTTGAAAGACCCTTTACTTCTTCTTTTTTGTAAATACATAAATATTGTACACAAATTATAATGTAATAGATTACAAGTTATATTTTTTTACATCTTCTGTAAAATTAGCAGTTTTTTTATTTAATTATGGATAACCACCATCTCGAGGTTCGACGTCAACTGTAACCAAGCCCGTGTAAGCCTTGTTGTATCCAATTATAGCAGTGATTCAAACTTAAGGGAAAACGAAGGTTCAAGTAAAAACTACCAACAGCTTGCAGGTCCCGAGTTTGAAAATTCAACCCCAGCAGACAAACGTTCATCATCCTGCAGCTCAACTTCATCCAGTTTCGATTCTTCGAGCTCATTTTCTTCAAGCTCTTCCAGCTCTACTTCATCGAGGTCTTCTGGTGGTCCAACGGCTGACCCAATCATTACTTGCAAAACGTTAGAATGGAATATGAGGTATCTTGCTCCCATTCCCTAGATAACAGTCAGAGATAGCAAATTCAGTTAAGAGGGCGCCCAAATGACGATAGTATGAGTAACTATAATATTTTTCCAATATGCACCGATCAAAGTAATGTTGATCTTAGTGATGATGATGATCCCACAGTAGATTTCAAATCGTTTTTGGTAAGCCTGCTAATAGAAAAAACTTTTTGATACAAGAATCCAATACAAATTCATCTCAGACAGAAATAGGCATTGATTGATTTTTATTACACGATGTTATTCTTCACTGTGGAAGTCAATCGTGAACATTTAATAAGTACATATTTCATTAGAAAAATTGGTACTCGCCTGTGGGAATCGAACAGGGGTGCATCGCTAGATACGAATACACCGGGCGTCTTATCCTTTAGGCCACGACAACTTCCGGATCGTAATTAAGAGGTATCGTAAACTTTCACGAAAAGTAAAAATGGCAGCAAAATAAATCGAAAAGGCTGAGAATCCAAGGCGAATCATATGTCTTGATGTCAGTAGATTTGTGGCTTCGAATTATTGAATCACCTACCCTACAGCCCAGACTTGGCTCCAGTGACTATTATTTATTTCCAAAAAAAACTAAGAAAGAGCTGGGTGAAAACAAATTTGACGACAATGAAGAAGTCAAGTCCGCAATTTCGACCTATTTTGACACCAAAGACCAATCATTTTTTTGTCGGCATAAACAAATTATTTGCGAGATCCTAAAAAATTTTTAAATATAAGGGAGAATATATTGAGAAGGAAAAATAGTTTGGAGCGTAATCTTAAATCCCTTCCCTCTCATTCCGAGAACTTTTTGACCGCCCCTTGTACATCGTTAAAAATATTCCAATATAATAAACAGTTATAATTTTTGTTTATCAGGTAATTTTCTGCAAAAGAAGAAGTGGTAGCGCAGCGAAGAAGAGAAAGTCATGACTTCATTTTGATTTGTTGCAGTTTTTAAAAGTAACCAAGCAGTCAAGAAACTCGTCTTTATCTTTCCTGATCCGACCAACCCCAAGCGTTGGCGGAAGGCCGGAGGCAGCGGAGCCAAACGGTACCAATACAGAAAATAACATCAGCGGCGGCGGTGAGCGTAGTGACTGTAATATGTATTCTCCATTTATAAAACCTAACTACATAAGAATGTATCCAGAGAACTACACAAATACAGAGTTCAAAGTATTTGTTGAACTTGCGAACAACAATAAGAAATGGGAAATAAAAGTCCAGTATATCTGAACCATCTTTTTTCCACTGGGGTAAAGGGTGTGACGGCTATTCCATTGAACGCCAATAAAATTGCAGTAATATTGAAGCAATATAACACAGCCAATAATTTTATCACTAATACAGCTTTTCTGGAAAAAAATGGCATGCGGGCTTACATTCCAGCAACGCAAATTGAAAAGACCAGAGTCATATGTCATGTTCCACACAATTTGTCAAACTAAGAACTATATACCGAATTATCTTCAATTTACGAAATAGTAGCAATAAGAAGATTCACAAAAAAAGTTAGTCAAACTACAAACGGTAAGCATCACTTTTCTGTCCAATGTTTTACCGGATGATATCCAATACGATTTATTTTCATTTCGAGTATTTGAATACGTACCTCCATTCCAACAATGTTTTAAATGTTTTAAATTCAATCACTCTGCCAAAATCTGTAACAGCAAGCAACGTCTGTTCTGGTGAACACTTGTATAAGGATTGTGACAAACCTAATGATATTAGCTGTGGCAATTGCAGTGGCTCTCATCTTGCAATCTAAAAACTATGAACAAGCATGTACATCGACTCCGACATCACCACCGCCCTCGGCATCACGACCGCCTCTCGGCATCACCACCGCCCTTGGCATCACCACCGCCCCAGACGTCACCTACTGCATCAACATTGAACAAACTGAACGTACTCCAACCCCGTTATCTGTCAGAACTTGGCGTAGTTCCTCTCAGCGTCATAAGAATAAAACAAGTGAGAATGATGAACTCTTCAATAATTATTTAAAAATGAAAATGAGCAAGCAGAATGTCAATGATGAGTCGTCAAATAATAACGCTATCGTGATGTTTTTGTTAAGTTTGCTGCTTGACTTAAATTGTCTGACATCAACACAAATAAGATCATTCAAGATAGAATATATACTGAATGTACCTCCCACTTCATCTACGCCGGCCTTAGTTCATATACCAAATTCTTCAGGTATATTATCTTCGCAGACATCTTCGTTTGTAGTACCTACCCTATATACAACAAGTAAATCATACTCGCAGGTAACAACTGGCATAAAATTACGTCGTCCCACCACGATACCTTGCTATAAAAACGCTCCGTTGTTGTCTCTCGAGCTCAGAAGCGAGCGAGTCGCCGTGTCAGACCGAACGCTCCTGCGTAATATAAGCTCTGAGTTCATTTCTGGTTTTATTGACTTACGAAGACCGCCCGCTTACCATGTCGCCTACCCGAAAGTGGAAAAACTCCAACATATATACAAGTGAAGCTAATATAAAGCGTGTAAAAATAGACACTTTAGATTGTGTCCTGAAAGCGACATCTAGTCAATAATAACATCAACTTTTACAAATTTATACCGAATTAAATTCTGTTTCAAATGTGAACGGTAGATGACGCTTAATTATTTCAGATTTTAAAATTGAAATCTGAAAGCTTTGAAACATCAATCCGCATAAATGTAATTTAAAAACTACAGTAAAAGGCTTAAATAAAAAGCTGAACTTAACTCAGCCTTAATTAGAATTTTCTTCGGAATTCAGTAGTAAAGTTCAAGTTATTTTGATGAAATCGAAACTGAAATATTCATAACATCTTAAACATTTTAATTATTCTGCTATATGCTTATTTATAATTATTATTATAAAACCCGCTTAATTAGATAACAATGCCACCTACAGGCAGCGGCTAAGACATTATATAATGTATAAACCGTTCAATAAGAGCTGCAAACTATCCCCTTGAAGCTACAGTTTATGTAGGAATAATTCCAGTGCACCCTGGCGGCCGTAAATGCAAGCTGTGAAATATCTTCCTATCTATTTCAGGATTATCATGTATTCTCGAATTATTTAGTTTGTGGCATGTCACTTTTTACATCGAAAAAAGTCAGGATCGAAATTTTTGAGCGTGCTATAGTTTGTGGTGATAAAATTAATAATTTCAAGTAGATTAATTGTTGTAATTGATATAACTAGTTAATATCCGCTTAATTGCCCCGTAGACTACCAGTCTACAAAATTCTGCACCTTATTATGCCCCGTAGACCACAAGTCTACTAGATTTAGGACCATTAAATTGCCCGTGTGGACTAGTGGTCTACAAGCCCTCTTGACTTGACCTTCCTCTAGTTTTATGAATATTATCCGTCTTGCTCGTTTATTAGTGTGTTTATATATATCTTTCCTGCTTCTTTGATAAATTTCCAACCAAATAAAGCCAATAGACCGTATTCCAGTCCTGGAAAAAATTATAAAAAAACAAAGTTGAAGTTGTCATTTGCAAATGTGTGGTTCGCGTGTGCTGTGATATAAGTGTTGTGCCGAATTGTGAAGAATTTTAATACTTACGGTGAGTATTTTTACTTGATTTTTTATTATTATCAAGGTAAGTAAACTACTAAACTGTAGAAATAAAGTTTTCAGCGTGAAACACAAAATTTGTCCTTTTCTGAACCCGATAAAGTTGACGGAATATTTTGGGCGCGCGCTTCCCGGCTAACGTAATAGTTTTATCTTCAATTTCGATATATTTGGGCTGTTTTATAATTCTAAATACTATCAAAATGATTATTTACGTTATGATCATGTAAATTCTAGCCGGGACGATAAAATTAGAAGCAATTTGAGTCAGAAACTTTAAAATCCGACTGACAAGTGTTCATGGTGCAGTTAAGGCTAGGAGCACACCGAGAGATCGTGTGATCCGGAATCCGGTAGATATATTTTTCTAAGCGATTGTGTTACTTGTGTTACTTTGGCTTATGAAAATGCTTCTGAATGTTTTTTTATTTATCTTGGTTCATGATGCAGTTAAGGTTAGGTGCAGACGGAGTAATCGCGCGTTCCGGACTGGATTTTTTTCTGTACGCTTGTCCGAAATTAATTATATTATTAAATTTTACTGCTTGTGAATGTGAAATGCTTGCTGCTGGTTTTTATTTTTTCTCTTCTATTTGTTTTTGGCTGCTTATTGCATGTGACGCAGAAATTGTAAGCCAAAGTGGTCAGGGTGCCATGAGACCACGTCGGGGCTTGGGAGCGGCGAGAGGACGTGGAGCTGCTCGAGGTGGTGGTCAGAGGGGCGTCAGGGGCGGTAGGGGTGGCCGTAGGCCACGCTGTGCCCGATCTTTGCCTTTTTCACAGTAAGCAATATTAAATTAAACCTAAATCATATTTTAATTGTAAGTAAAACTTCCGACATTCATTAAAATATTTTTTTATGTTTAGTCTTGGAGATGAAAACGTGGAAGTGGAAACTTCTCCAGGCCCATCTGGAATTCCACAACGGTAAAATCTACATAAATTAACTTTATTGTATCTAATTGTTCCAGTAACATTCATTCATTCAATTTTGGATTTTAGGCCTTCATTGACAGAGCAATTGAAAGTCGCCAAGGTGGCGAGGCTTTTGGATAAAAAGCATGAGAATTTGCTGTCTGCGGACCAAAAAAAGGAGCTGGCCAGGCTGCGCGATGGCAAGCAAGTGGGCAATTTTAAAATGCCAGATGCTCCAGAACCACAGTAAGTAAATTTAGAAATAAATTCAATGTTTTAACTGCTCATACGTGAGTTTGTTAGTGTCGAACATGTGCATGGTATCAGGTCAGCATTTTTTTTATTTATTTACAGAAGAGGAAGAGGAAAGGGAAAGGGGAAGGGCAAAGGAAGGGGCAGTGAAGACTCGCGGATGTGGAGGCCATGCCCACTTTTACCTGGGGTACCAACTGTCCCTCCTCCACGTGTACGTCAGTCGTGGGAATTGCAACAGCAACGCCCGATTGGTACATGTATAATACTTTATTAATAATATTTCCGTAGGTACTTCATTCATCTGTCAAAATCACACTTGAGTCAAAACCTAGAATTCGCAACAGAGTTAAACTCAATCATGTTTAAAGTTAGACATATTATGTTGTGTTAATTCTCTCTAGTAAATATCCTCGTTGTTAAATTCCAGATATCACCGCGGAGCAGGAGGGTGAGGATGATGACATCGAAAGCTATTTTCTTCCAGATATCACCGAGGATGAGGAGATGCGTCCTCCCCTCCTCGAGGATGAGGAAGCCGTTCCTTCTGCAGGGACCCCACCTCAAGCGAAGTAGGTTATTCTGTTTCTGTAATAAATGAATGTGGCCGATTCTAAAAAAATATAAACAAAATTTACAGTTTCTACAATTTTTTATTGACAGGAAACGCAAGATCCAATTTTCGCCCTCGATGGGGATCATCCAGGCTACTGCATTGCCTCAAAATATCGTGCCAGCAGAGATAGAACTCCTGGGGTTTACACCTTGTTAGTTGATATCATATTTTAAAAAATAATTTCTTTTACTTTCAACTTATTTTACTAAAAATTTATAACTGTTTCAGCTTCTACCGGTACTCGAACAGCGCTTGACTCTGGAAGAAGTAATTACAGTATGGGTAAGTTAAAGTATTATTTGAATTTCATGTGTCGCCTCCATAAGATGATAGGGTGGACCAAATCCTAAAATTTATTTTCTTACTTACAACAGATATCGATATAGATATGGAGCGTGACTTCATAGAGCCTGGCGAAGGCAGCGAAGTAGATGAAGGTGATTCGGCGAATATGGTCGGTATGATCGATAATTCTTTGAAACCAAGACGAATCGATGATTTTCCGATGGACTTAGACAGTATTGCTGAACATGAGGTAGTTGAGGTGATACAGGAGCTGGACAATGCTGCCGACGAAGTCCTTCGGAACGTGGTAGGACCGGAAACCGATCTGCTTCATTTTGACTGGCGAGGCGAGCCGGAAAATTTTGAGTCTGTCAGGGAAGCATTTACTGTGCCATCTACTGGACCAACGTTTGATAACGCCGATTTAATTCCCTTAGATGTTTTTTTCAAGATTTGGGATGCAGATATTATTGCTTACATCGTGCGCGAAACCAACCGCTACGGTGCTCAGCTAATAAGGTCGACCATTCCATCCAAGCCAAATTCTAGATTAAGCCGTTGGAAAGACGTCACCAGTGACGAAATCCTACGGTTTTTAGCAGTTTTAATGTTACAGTCACTAGTTATAGATTATGTGGAGCGCGAATATTGGTATGCCGTGATTGAAGAACTCCAAATAGGCAATTTTAAAGAAATAATGACTTATAACCGTTTCATCGTCATCAAACGTTGTCTCCATTTTATAGACAATGCCACTTTGCCTGTGCCGCCTACCAAACTCGATAAAATCATCCCCATCATAGAGCACCTAAACAAAAAATTTAAGTCTTTATACGTACTAGAACAAAATATAGCAATTGACGAGTCACTCCTTCTTTGGAAGGGGCGCCTCTCATTTGCGCAAAAAATTGCTACAAAAAGAGCTCGAGTAGGTATAAAGTCTTACGAGTTATGTGAATCCAGGACTGGATATTTATGGCAGATGGAGGTCTACACGGGCAAAGGGCACGCACATGTGGTACAAGACGGGGAGCCGGAAGAGCGCGGGCAAGAGTCTGACGAGCCGGAGAGTGCCACGGCCCAGATTGTGCTGAACTTAACGAGACCACTTTTTGATAAAGGCCATACATTAATAATGGACAATTTTTATAATGCGCCACTTTTGTCTCGGATCCTAAAAGTTCAGCACAAGACTGATTCGATGGGTACTCTACGACTTAACAGAGAGTTTGTCCCCGAAGCTCTTAAAAAAAAAACAAAAAAAAACATGAAGGAGGGCGAGGTGGCATTCAGCACAACCAAAGACCTCAGTGTGGTTGTGTGGATGGACAAAAATATTGTGGCAATGATTTCTTCTTTCCATCCCATAGAAGTCGGCGGCATTGAAAAATACGGTTATTACCGGTACAAACCGCAAGTTGTTCTTGATTATAATTTCTCAATGGGCGGCATCGACCACAAAGATCAAATGCTGTCTGCCTATCCCATTGAGAGATCACGTAACATAATCTGGTACAAAAAATTATTTCGCCGACTTTTAAATGTATCGATGCATAATGCTTTCGTAATGTTCAACCACAACCGCACTCACGCCCTTCGTCACCGTGAATTCCGCCTGCAGTTGGCAAAGCAACTGCTGCAAAGCAGCAGATCAGCAGCACCTTCCCGGTCTTTAGCACCGGCAGCACGACCAGAACCAGCGGCATGCATACGGGACATGCACTTGCCAGGAAAAAATACAAAAAAACAGCGCTGCAAGCTCTGCTACTCTGCCAAAGTGCAGCGCTCGACGGTGTGGCGGTGTACCACCTGCAATGTCAATCTGTGTATCGTAGGATGCTACACCGTATACCATATCAATCTAGCGCAAACGCCCGCCATTTAGTGCAAGTTGTTTTTTGTTTTTTTGTTTACTCCGGATCCGACTACCTAGTCTACGTCAGAGTACGTATCAAAATATATAAAATCAATATACATAAGGTCGAAATAAATAAAGTCACAGTGCCGAAATTCGAAATACATAAATTATCAAAATATATAAGTTCCAGTATCTGTTGTTCTGGTCATCATCAGACCCTGGAAACTTTTTACAGAGAAGTTGCTACATCTCTGGAAGTATTTAGATGAAAAACGACTTCAATAACTTGTTCCGTTCCTCAGTTCCAGTATCTGTTGTTCTGGTCATCATCATACCCTGCAAACTTTCCACAGAGAAGTTGCTAAACCTACGGAAGTAATAATTAACTTTAGGCATTTTGGGATGGGTGTCACAGATAGTCAACAACAAACAAAACCGACCGACAAAACTCCGGATCAAGAAAAAATAATGTTCCGGATCACACTCGGTGTGTACCGAACCTTAAATATTGGTGTAGCCCGCTGATTTTGTTGTTTACTCTTGAATATGTTTTTGTAATACAGTACAATACACAAGTGTGATATATTTTTAGAAAGGGCTTGAAATGTTCTATTTGGTATGATTATTCTTGTTTTTACATTGTCTATTTTTTAGAACAAAAAATATGTAAAACTACAAAGATTTCACTGTGCGAATGAGACCTGTAGCACTAATTTTAACATATTTCAGTAATGGCTAATGCTATCGATTGGATTTTTGTATATTTTGTAAGAATGTAAGATAGCCCATATTATACTACTTAAATTGTAGGCCTAAATGTGATATTTGCGCA